TTGGTCTTCTCGTCAGATGTCAACGTCAGTTTTGAACTTAAATCAGTTGGATAGCAGATCTGAGAGAATAGATATGCACAAATATCTATGGAGCAACTCGTTCAATTAGTCAGATTTGATGATTTGTAATTTACAGTATAATCTTTTATATTGTGTAACTCTATTAATTCTAATGATTTTTCAGATCAAATATGTCTGTGACATAGTCAATATATTTTCTGCCATTAATATAGATTACTTTGTTAAGAAAATCATGTTGGACGATTTTCATGTAGTTTATTAATAATATTGACTTCTTTTTTTTTTATCAAAAAAACAATTCTTGCATGCAAAAGAGAATACAGACCTTTAGGTTTAAAATCACATTAAACGATATTCCATAGAACCCTAAAAGATTAATGTAGGATTCTTTTGTATAAACACAAAAATTGACTATATTATAGCAGTACCAATGTACATAAAATCAATATCATCGGAAAATGGCAATAAGTCTTACCGGGGGGAAAAAAGAACTATGTAGCTGGATAAAACAAAAGTAATTTTGATTAATCCAAAAAGGGTATATATATATATATATATATAGCTCGTGAATGAACGCAAAAGAGCACTAGGAATCGTGACAAGAGGTTTTCTTTAAATTCATGAAGACATGCAATAGAAATGACGTGTTTGACGGGTGCCTCCAATCATTTTCCTCCGTAGAAATTAGATATTGGCCATGAACAATTTGGAATAGGCACTTGTCAAGTTTTGACTCATCAAAGCTTCTCCAGTTGTTTTTTTTTTTTCCTTTTGTTGTTTTTTTTTCTTTTGTTTGTTTTTTATTTGGGGGGGGGAGGGGGAGAGGGGGGGTCTTCGTAAATTAGTTCGACACATACACGTGAAGAAGAAAGTATGTTACTTGATGTAAATCATTAGCCTCTAAGTTCGGTCACATACATAGTATTTTCGTCGTTCGAGATCTTAAATTTATGATTTTTCACTTGCCATCGTTCTCATCTCGTCACCCAATCCAATTTTTTCCATTTTTTTTTTTTTTGTCCAATTCTTGCAAGGGAGGCTGGAATCTTTACAGGTTAATCAGTAATAAATCTTGTTATGCTGTCTACGCGAAGTGGGCAAGGCCAAGTTAAAAAAGGAAAAAATGAATGCCAGAATCCATGTCAGACCAGATAATGATTCTTTTCTTCTTTGGGTCATGTACGTCATGAATGGGAATTGGAGAAAGGTGGAGGTAGCAACGGGTAGGGATGATAGGTAACGCGTGACATGAAGCTGAAGGGGGTATTCAAATTTCAGGGCAAATGCAACTTGAAGTGAATGTGCGATGATCTCAAATCATGGTCGGCCTTAGGTCGTTTGGATTGTGCATTATTTATCCAGTTTTATTTGCTTACATCATCATTACAATTTTTAATACATCTTTTTATCTTTTTAATTATCTTTTTATCTCACATACATCACATCACAAAAAGTGCTACAGTAAAAATCTTTCAAATAATCTCAAAAAACTTACAATTCAAACAAAGATCCAGATCCACACGAGTTCATGGGTTTGTTTTGTCTTGTCTTGTCTTGTAGGAAAGGTCTCAAAGTACATTAGTGTTAGGCTACTTTTAGCTTTCTTTTCACCTAAATTTCCCATGCATGATGCAACACATAATTGGACTCTTCATCTTCACGTCAATGACCAGAATTTGTATCGGAGTGATCTTTTCTTTTGTTTCACTGCTCCTTTTATTTGTGAAGTTTCACTTTTTCTCTTTGGCTTCAAAAGCATATTCACCGCAATGATTTTGAATGGCGGAAGAAAGAAGAAAAAGCGGACAAGAAACCCGAGATTTTAGTACTATATATAATTTTCCTTAAACGGATATGTTTAATTAATGTGACCCCAATTCTTTACAAATATTCTTTTACTTGAGTGTATAATTAATTGTATGGCAGTTAAAGAGTTTGCTAAACATATATATATATTCTACCACATTTCGTTCAGCTACATTTTTCGCTCCCTGTAAAAAATATATATATATATATATATATATATATATATATATGTGAAAAAAAGGGGGAAGGAAGGAAGTGGCTATGATGATTGAAATAGCTGAGAGGGTATCAGATTATTAGCCAATGAGCTTCTAATGATATTATTGTCTTTTTGGCCATGATGATTGAAATAGCTGAGAGGGTAGGAGGAAGGAAGTGGACTGGCGGCCCCCGTCGGGGAGGGTGAGGTGCTGGGCACCGTCGAGTCGACAGTGGGACGTGAAGAAACAATCGATTTTAACTTACTTAAAATTTTTCAACCATTACAGACCCTCCTCTCGGTCTTAGACAGGTCAAATCAGCCAGCCTGCCTGCTGCATTTTTTGGCATCTAATGTTTTTTGGTTGCTGGACAGGTTTTTGATGGCTGGTGAGCTCTACCATCCCACAGGAATTGGTCGCAGATTTGTTTCTGGTTGCTAAGTAAACAAGTAGTAGCAGTAGATGTAGAAATTCAGAAAATGCAAAATAGTAGTAGTAGAAGTAGTACTCAATTCGTACTTGTACGAAACACTACTGATGGCTGGGTCCCCTTTAGACTGATTGTTTATTGGGTCGATTTATCTGTTAACTCTCGTGCTTAGTTTAATTAAGTGTGTGTTTATTTCAGTGTCCGGAAAAAACAATTCCATATTTGGTGAGGGTGTGCACGGGGGATTGGGCTTCTATCCCACATCGAAAGATCGTGGGGTTTTCATCTTGGATTTAAGGTTCATGGGGTGTCCGTCTTGTCACCAATTGGCTGGATCGGGTTGCTCTGTGGATCCCCTTAGATTGACTCTCGTGCTTAATCTAATTAATTATGTGTGTGCGTTTATTTCAGTGTCCGGAAAAAAAAGAAACACTACTGATGGCAACTGGCAAGCATATGAAGATGGAAGGCTCATTGGAACATGACCGTGCCTTCAAGGAAAGTTTCGCTCAGTCACCAACCACTTCTACTACTACTACTAGCTAGTAATTCAATCCCTCAAAGTTGAATACCATATAATTGTGCACGTCTTTTAAGGCAACAAAAAAAATTTGCACCTAATCATAATCTCAAGCCGTGATATCCATTATTCATAGATCAATTCTACTATATGCTAAGATAGAGAGTCTATGTCATGTCCAATTACAGGAACCTATCACAATAGGTAACGAGATTTTTGAACCTGACTTCAATCTTTTCCTACTCCGCTACTTTTCTTTATCTTCTTTTTTTCTTTTACACTAAAGAGAAGAATTTAAATCCTGTTTGATAACTCAATTTAGCACTTAAAATTAATGAATTCAGATTTTAATATATTCAGACGCATTTGATATCAAAAAATTGATACACTCATATGTATTTAATTTAATATTTAATAATTCAATACTTTAATGAATTCAGATTTCAGAATTCAGCTTTATCATCCGATGCATCGTTGTTGTTCTCAGCACAAGCATCCTCTCTTGTAGTTGTAGTGGCTCGGGATCACGCACTGTTGGTTTTTGGGCATTGCATGGGACTCACAAGATTACAGTAGTAGGTATACAAGCATCGCACCGCATACCAAGTCCTCTGTTCATCAACATCTTCAAACCCATTATTGCACGCCAGGCCAGACAACCAATACTGATTACTGTACACTAGGGGCATAAGAATTTAGTAATTCAAGCACCAAATGTGGAAAGAAGGAAGAAAAATTTCCCCAAAAGGCAAAAGAAGAAAAATCTAAATAATCTTTGTCCTGATTCTTTTCCCGGTTTCTGAGCTCTGAGAAACATAACAAACCCAACAGCATAATTTAAAAGCGAAAAAGCCTAGAGGTTGTAGGAAGAACATCCCGTCCTTGGACAAACTGACAAAGCAAAGCTGTACCCAAAAACTAACTTAGGTACGGTACTAGACTACTATTCCACGCGTGGGCGTGGTCTTGGTCTCGCGGCTTTACACTCTGCCCCGGTTTGGCTCACACGCGGTTATGTTACAAACAAAAAAAATGTCACTTCACACTTCCTCCCACCGCACAACCACCCTGTTTTATTAGCAAAAACCACCACCGTCCTTTTTCCCTTTTTTTTTAAAAAAAAAAAAAAAAACTTTTTCTCTCTAATTCGTTCCCTAACTAAAGAACTTTTCAAATAGAAACATCAGCCTCTCTCAAAACATTGCTCAAGTGACAATGAATCATTGAATTGGAGAGAAAAAAAATGCTCGATAGCATAGCAGGGTGTTCTAAGTTTTGATTTGCACCAATAATGAGTAAATGTAAGGGTGTGTTTGGATTGCTTGTTTTCGTCGGAAAATATTGTCGTTTTTCGTGATCATATTTCCCTATCACCTTTTTCTCTCACATAGATCAAATCGCTACAGTAATTTTTCCATGAAAAATGACGGAAAATGCAATCCAAACATGCCCTAAGACTTTATTCGCATGAAACAGGGTCACGAGCAATCAATAATGAGTAAATATAAAGCTTTTATCCGCATGAAAAAACAGGATTACGGGCAAATATGTGTATCATATCGTAAAAAGTATTAAATAATTCACTGTCCAAACACACTCGTGCATATAATTGTTAATTGACCCTCTTCATCGTCCCGTGTAATTAGAAATGATTAGTAGCATACGATTATTGTTCATGTCCCGGAAAAGTAACTAGTGAATTGTAAGCCAAGCCTCCTTGTTGCTCTAAAAAAGAGCCAAGATGACAACCATATCATATCATATGTGAAGAAAATGGAAAGGAGTCACAATTCGTAAATCATAGCATGAGAGAAGAAAAGAAAGAGCGAGAAAGTCATAAACCATAATAGTAGCAAGTGTAGACCTATTCAAAAACAACCATAAGAGAAAAAAATAATAAGAAAAAGAAATACAAAAAACAAGTTTCTCTTGGCTCCACTTACCCCATGGACCCCGACGATTCTCTTCCCTGCTCCGCGCCTATAAAACCATGCCTTGCTCTGTAAACTTTCCTTCCATCATCAGAGCATTTCCTCCATAACCAAACACAAAATTCATTCGAGCATCCAAAACCTACCATACCCTCTCATTTACACCAACAAATTGCCTATCCCTCTTTCTCCTAGTGTGCGCGCGCGTGTGAGTGTGTGTGTTTTCCTCTCCTCTGTGTTTCTATGCATATGATAGTATCTGTTTCTATAGTTATATGCACTTCTGCATATATTGCTTCTACTCTCTTCCCTTTTCCTTTCTCCCTTCTCCCCTTTTCCAAATTAACTCCCGCTGATCATTTCTCTTTTCCAAATTCTCTCCTTCCTTTCTTAAATCCACCGCCCCCTCACAAATAGTCTCGACTCTTTCCAACTTCTACTGCCATTTACCGAGTAACTCTCTTCATTTCCCGCACTCACTCGAGATTTAATCAGCGTGTTTGGAGGAGGATTTAAAAATGGATTCTCAAGAGCAAGTGTTCGACAACGTGAAATTTGAGAAGGCGAAGGCGATGGCCAGGTATAACCGTTTCCGGAGGACTATGAAACTTTTTCAGTTTCTGGAAGTTTTGGTGGCGCTCCTGTTGATTTCCTGGTCCTCCACCCGTCTTCCCGGAGCGCTGAAAATCTCCGGGAGGATTTTGTTCGAAGTTGCAGACTATCTGTTTAATCCGCATGTCGTTTTTCTCATCGGCAACGTCATCATCGTCGCGCTCTTTTTCCTCTGTCGAAGAACCGGCGCCGGTAGCGAGAACTCCGGCGACGATGATCTCTACGACGAATATGCCCGTCACAGCCAGGCTCATGCTCCACAGCAAAAAGTTGCAGGCTCGGGAGGCGTTAACATTCCTCCGCCAGAAATTCCTGCTACGCCGGAGACTATGGACGTGATTGCAGGCGCAGGAGGCGGCGATGGAGGCGAAGCGGAGGAGAAGCAGATCATATTGTGGACGGAGGAGAAGGCGGAGCAATGCGACGCTGTGACGACGGCCATAGAGACGGCGGCAAAACGGATTGAGAAGTTTCAGAGGATGCAGTCGGAGAAGCCGAAGAGAGAGATCGCGGTGAAGCCGCAGGGAGAGCTCCGACGGTCGGAGACGGTTCAGGTCGGTCGAGGAAGGACCGAAAGGCCAAAGGCGACGTCATTTGACACGGTGGACAATATGAGCGACGAAGATTTCAATCGGATGATCGACGGTATTATTGAGCAGCGGCAGAAGTTTCTTATGGAACAGAAATTAGCTGAAAACGGAGAGCGAAGAAAGACGTTAGGAAAAGTTACAGATGTGCAAGTGTGAGTTGAGAAGTTTTCACTGATCTATTTTCACGAGCAGTAGAAAAGATGTTGGATGAAAAATATGGTCTGAGTTTATTTTCCTTATGAATATTCTAGTGACCATGGTTTCGGATGCACAGAGACTGTAGTATAGCAGCTTCTTGTTACTTCTCTGTTTCTCTATAATTAGCAAGCGTCTTTTATTGCGCCAATAATGAGTATCTTTCTCCTTTTCCTTGTAATTTATGCGAGACTTGTTCTTAATTTTATTTCCAAGTACCATTTCTGGATGACGATCGATATGCTTTCACCGCCCTGGCTGGCCAATTCTAAGACATGGGACGAAACTGTTTGGGATATTATTGTACAGTGCTCTAGCATAAGCGTGCAAGCTACTGGTGGTGGAGTGATCACTGGGCTGTAAAAGTACAAGTCTGTGGCCAATTAGCCATGAACTCAATGTGGATTAGGAGTTGATGGATGCCTTCCGCTTTACTGTCTCTGTTTTGTTTTATTCTGCACTGAAATTGGTTGATAAAGCCCATTATCAAAAGAGTGATATTTGATACTCACGAGAGTGATATTTGATACTCAGAAGTAGAAGGCCATTATGATGGTTCTGTGTCATGATTTCGAGGTAGAAATGGATCATCCATCAGAGTATCTATCTGGCTGAGGCTAAAAGGTACCCACCTAGCTTTTGGACGTGTTATTTTCAGTAGATGTTATTATCTGAGCTGTTAATCGTTATTTATAGATATGTATCTTCAATTTCTGCTAGTTCTCCTGTTGGTATCCATTATTTGTTTCGAGATGTCAGCATTAGGAGACTGTTGTTCACCCTTTTGTGAAGGTAGGAAGAAATGGGAGTGCCAGCCATGAAAATGAATTTTTTTATTAAGCGTCGTCACAAGCTAGCGAGGGGGTGAAAGTTCTGGCATTTTTCGATTGGGTCTTTATTTTGTCGTCCGTTTAGTGAAATCATTTATTACTGATGTTTGATTTGATTATTTGATAGTGTGAAATGCAGAGTAGTCAAAGAAGAACAGCTTTGATGAATTGAGAAGCAGAGTAAAGGAAGCGTAGTACTACAGGCACATGCATGAGGAAGACCAGCTAAGTCTAGTTTTAAACTTGACTTGCTGAAGCCGGGGTCACTCCCACAACGCCATACTAAAACTATGGATGCTCGGGTTGACTCTTGACTATACAAATGTTGTTTTTTTTTTTTTTTGGCTCTCATAGAATTTTAATAAAAATTTATTTGGGAATTTACAAAAATAGCTAATTATGTGCGAGTACCGACAATTTCTTGTTTGTTTCTTCCGTTGAATCCAGTTGAATTGCTATTTTCTGGAGTTTTTATATAAAAAAAAATGTATTGCACCAATTTGATGTACGCAAGGTAAAAATATGAATAAAACATATGTTCATAGAAAAAAGGTAAAATTTTTTTGAAAAAATAAAAATCCAAAATGGTACTTTTTCATTTATTTATTTTGGCAAGGTTGTTGTTGTGCATTAATAATGCCTTAGACTATCATTTTCAGGATGGAGGTCTCCCCTCTTCAACAAAGCAGAGGAGGGTCCCTGAAAATAATGTGGCAATTTGTCGAAGGGCAGAAGAATCAAAACTTTAGTCTACCGTGTCAACTAATCTTGCCTAATAAACGACCGCGTGAGTCTAACAGGCGCGGCATCAAACTTCTGGATTCGCAGCAATAGAATAGAGAACTTATTTCATTTTCATGTCTCGATTCAAATGAATTACGTCAGGATTTTGACATAGTATATATGTTTCTTGATAGCATTTCCAAGATGAATATTACTAGTAACTAATAATAGCTACTACTCGATTGTTGTGATGATCGAATGATAATTTGTCAATCATACTATCTAAATGTAATGATAGTTACTAAACTAAATATTGATGCATCATCAATCATCAACCCTTTAAAAGCTTGTAATCTTGTCTAGGAAAAGGCACTTTTCGTCTACTTTTAGGCATTTAAAAGAGTGTAATTTCAATTAATTGCGTGCTTTCTTGGCACCGCTACCATTCTTTTTACTTTTACTTGTAATTATATATATACATATATTACTACTCCCTCCGTCCCACTTTGATAGTCCTGTTTATTTTTTCACACAGTTTAAGAAAAAGTAGTTAATTTTGTTGGAAATGTAAATTTAGATTGCTATTTTCCTAAAATACCCTCATATTAAATATGGTACAATTTTATGGGAACTTGAATGGATGGTACAAAAGAATCAACTCTCATTAAATGGGATAGGTTTATAGTAACAACTACTTACATTGAATAAGGGTATTTTAGAAAAATTAAAATACAACTATATTCGTCAATTGGAAAGTGGACTATAATTTGGGACAGATGAAAAAGAAATACAGAACTATCAAGGTGGGACGGAGGGAGTACTATATTTACCTTTTACCCTTGGAATAGGGAATTGGGATGGTCGGAGAGAATGCTTTCCGTGGAACATAACACCGGTCGCTTCCGAAAGAATAGTGAAGTGTGATAAAAAGTTACTACCGAGCGTGTGTCGTTTGAAATGCTGACCGATAATTGAATAAACACTTAATTAATTGCGGATCCAACTAGTTCGCATATTGTATTAAATAAACAAACCATGTACAACAACATATCAAGATAATAATGCCCTGAATGAATGTTTTCAATGTAAATTTAAACCACGACTAAAACAAATTTGGCGTCAATAAATCTATTATGTTCCCAGTTAATTCGACATAATTTTTTTTTGAATAAAATTATTGTTATTATTGAACTATAGGTCAACGGATCAAAGCACTTCTGCATCGACGAATGGAATTTCTTGACTCCTTCCATCCAATTAATTGGACATAATTCCCTGTCCTATATGTACTATTGTCATTGACCCGTAGGTCATGGGATTAATCATTAATGCCCTCCTCTCTTGACTAGTCAGATTTCTAGACTGCTTCCATGGGATGCCATTCCATTTTAAGAGACCTAAAAAGGGAAAAAAAGAATTATGCAAATGCAGCTCCATTTTTTGGAAGAAAAAAAAAATATAGAACAAGAAAAAGGGCATGCATAAATGACCACAGAACTTGCTCCTAGAGGCGTTTCCATTATTTTGGGTTCCAGCCAATTCCAACGCCATGACTAATTGACCATCTATCTACAAATTTATTTATACAATATATAAAACTTTTCTCATATGTTAATTTGGGCAGCCAAAGAATAAAATACTATGAATGAACGAAGGAAGTAGGCCGGTAGTTGCTAGAGCCCATCTGCTGGATTGCACAGTGGGGGGAGTTGTGTTGGGGTTGGGAGTGATTTAAGTGGAAATTTATTAGTAAGATTTTGTCATTGATGGATGGATGGATGGATGGATGAGGGGGGGGGGGGGGTCCTAACCATACGATCTAGCAGCTGCTTGCTCTTGTCCAATTGTGTGCAAGTTTTGGAACAAAATAAATGAAAGAGTGAGTTGTCGTCCTGTTTTGTTTAATTGGTAGACTCTCTTTTTCACTTTTCCTTGCGTTGTTTTTCTGTCTGTGGGAGCACTAAAACCAAACGTTGTACTTGTCCATCATTTCATATAAATTTAATACACACCAATCATTTACTCTCCGGATTATAATTTATAAATCCCCAATTTATAAATCCCATCTCAGGACCAAAAGCCCGGGAATCTGAAATGATGATGGTTTAATATCCCCTCAATACCGTCGGATTTGTTGAGTCTATCCCATCCCCCAAATTTGGTCTTTAAACTTTGTTTGAAACTAAAGCACAAGCAAAAATTTATGACTAAAGTACTTCGGAAATATAATATAGTACGTAGTGCATAATCTTTTTGCAGCTCGGAACAGCACAAGCAATTTGGCTAAATTGTATTCCTTCTCTTGATACATACTATTGTACATCAATCTGTCTAATTTGAGTTCTGGTAGCAGCATGTACATAAATCTTGTACTCCCTCCGTCCCGTTTTGTTAGTCTTGGTTTTTTTTTCACACAGATTAAGAAAGTGTAATTAATTTGGTTGGAAACATAAATTTAGATTAATAATTTCCTAAAATACCCTTATGCTAATCAATGTAGTCAATGTATTCAATGTATTGGAAAAACTCAATGTATTCAATGTAGTGGGTTAGTATTTAATAACAATGTATTAATAACAATATATTTAATAAGGGTATTTTAGACAATTTGAAAGATTACTACATTTCTTAATGGAAAAGTGGACTACAATTTGGGACGGACGAAAAAGGAAAACAAGACTAACAAAGTGGGACGGAGGGAGTAATAGTTTTATCTAGTGCTGTAATCAAACTGCTCACGAGCAATTCAGTCAAAAACTTGACTCGGGCTCGACTCAATTACATCCCTAGCTAGTATTATCCTTCTGATTGTCTTATTTCGGTAACAGGTAGCAATTTCATGAAGTGTGAAATCCGGGATATCAAATGAAAAGATGCTCAATCGTAAATAGGGGTGTGCATCGAATTCGAATTCGGTAATTCGGAAGTTTGAATTCGGAATTTTTCGAAATTTTGGTACCTGGTAATTCGACCGAATTTGATTTCGAATTCACCAATTCCGAATTCGAATTCGTACCGAATTCAATTCGGAATTCGGTAAATTCCGATTTCACCGATTTCACCGAATTCGGAAAAATTTATATATTATTATATAATATAAAATTTATAATAATATATAATAATATATAAATTTTATAAATTTTATATTATATTATATTATATTTTATAAATTTTATAAAATATTATATAGTATAAATTTTATATTACATGTATAAAAAATATATTTATATATTAAAAAAGAATTTGAAATCGAAATCGGAATTCGAATTCCGATTTGAAAAACTCCATTACCGAATTCGAACCAAATTCGAAATATATGAATTCGGAAAATCCGAATTCGATTCCGATTTCCGATTTACCGATTTCGAAAATTCCGAATTCAATTCGAATTCGGTCGGTAAATCGGAATTTTTCGATTTTGCACACCCCTAATCGTAAGAGTTAAAATTGTTTTTATTTTATTACCTCAACCCTTTGTCATGCCTTCTTGGAAGCTACTCAGAAGTTAACTGACGATCTATATATCTTGTGATATGGACTCATAATGCTGTTTAAACATATTAGCGTATGCGTTCGATTTGTACTCCATTTAAGAAACAACAGGCTAAAAGAAAAGAGGAAGAACACCGGCCAGTTGCTCTAACGGTGATGGATAACAGTTCTATTACAGCTTTGAGGGGAACATTTATTGTTAAGAAAAGCTCATATGTCGAAATGCATGTCGCTCCAGTTTGTCATTTCACTTATGTTATATCTACTATTCACTGGCTTTCAAAATGGTTTGATATTAGTGGCCACATAACATATAGCTAGTATCTGTTTTACATGGCTACAGACTACTGCTGCACTTTGTCATTTTTCCTTTCTTAATCAGATGGCGTTGGAGGGGGCCAAAAAAAAAACAAAAACAAAAACAAAAAACCCTATACCCTTGCCTATTTAATTCCACGTCAAGATTTAGGACAAGAAAGTGAAAAACTCATTGAGGGAGGGAAAACTCGAGGTTCAACTACACAAAAATCCGACCATCATCAAACTATCATGATGCTAGCTGTTCGGTAAGGGCACATTCAGTGTAATCTCGTTAGATTCCATGCAGCAAAGCTAAATTTGCTAAAGAATTTCGGTGAGAACAGCATAATTAATTTATTAAGCGCATTTTATATCAGGGAGAGTAGAAGAAGCAATATCTAGTAGCTAGCCCGAGTTCGAATGGATTTTCAGGGTTTGATCAAGGGATTTTTGGTGGTATGATTGAACGACATGCAGTCTTTGTTGGAGACTACCGACGATGTTATTGTTGTGGGGATTAATGTCAATGAAGAAGACTAAATCATAGCATTGGAGTGGACAAGTCAACGTCATCAGCAGTAGAATAAGTCTTGTTTTAAGGAATTCAAGCCGTGTTTGCTGCCTAAACTGCAACAAATTCTATTTCAAAAGCTGTTCTCGTCCCCACAACTGTTACTTTACCTTCCCACCAGCCGCAGCTTTTGAACCTTTCAAGTTAGTTTAATTTGTCTTCGACAGATATTTAATGCGCGCCACTTATGTGTTGGATGATCGATCATATATGGATTAATTGTTGAGCGTATATCTCATAATTTTCCATCCACCACGATGCAACATTCCCGGCGGCAAACCCAGATGAAAGCAAAGTAGACACTAAAATTAAAGCGAAAATCTAACCAAGAATTGTACGTCCATCCTTCCTTGAGGCGGTGATTAATAAGACAAAGATCGCACCGGTGGCATCCGTTAATTTACTTCAAATTCGAACTTCGATCACTTTGTTTTAGTTCATGTTTTATTGTGAGAGCTGTGGGCAGTATCACTAGTACCTAACACACGAAAAAAAAAGGCCTTTAATTTTTTTAAAAAAAAAAAAAAAAAAGGAATCAGCAAGATGATAGCGAAAGACAATTGGAATTTGGAAAAGGAGTACAGAAATGTAAAGAAACTTTAGTGTAAGAAGTTGAATGGAATTTATTCTTTGTTGGGCGACTTGTCGTTAGATCGCCATCACAGGATGCTTTGTCTAGTGAATGACACCAAAAATATCACAAGGCGCGAGGCGCAGGTATTACATATATTGCTTAGCATTGAGGAAAGAATGTGAAGAATGTCCAGGTACGTGGTTCCCATTGAAAGCAAGAAAAGTCAGTGGTACTGCGAAAAAAAGAGGAATGCCAACCTTACGAAATAAAGAAAGTAGATCGAGCGCAACTAATCATGCTTTGTACTCGAACTCCCAAGAGGGTTTTGTTTGCATGTTCCAAATTGTGGAAGTAGCTAGTTGTAGTAACGGGGAACTTAAAAGCTTCCGTAGTGAAACACGGCGTCCCTTGTCTGTTCCCCTCATATTAGGGGTCCATATTTGGAAAGCTCTTAATTAGGTGTTGGCCAGAAAGTATGACTCTGTACATGTCTGAGCATGCTCCACTTGGGAAT